GAGGAGCGGCTTTATTAAAATTTATTTTTTTAAAAACTCTTGTTAGAGCCATTTTAGGGTTGTCATAAATTGGAAATGACCCGAAGGCACAGAAGAACAAAAACAATTATAATCTTGTTGTCAAAAAGAGCTTAATGAAAACCCTTATAACACCCCAGAGCTGGGATTGTAATTGGGGAAATCACCCCATTTTGTAAACAAACACAATGGAATAGTCTTTCAAGTAGAAAACTTGCTTAGCAGGAAGTGTCTTGGATCAAGACCTCTCAACTGAGACACTTGTTTTGGGGAAAATGCAAAGAGCTAAACATACAAATGGGGAATCATTCTGAAACGGCCTCTTCTCCTTGCAGCAACACAACACCAGGAGTCATTCTAGCTCATAAGTAGACTCCAAATAAATATATCATGCTTTGCATTTGTCCATCCTAATTTCCTCCCTTACATGCCTCTGATTACTGTTTTTCTGGTGTTATTGATTTCATCTCTACTTGCTTGTTGTTACAGAGCCACTGGATGGCAGCATTGTTGTACTATGTTTCCTTAAATGTTGTATTCTGAATCTCATGTCAAGCTCTGTGTAGTGTAATGCGGCAGACGGCATTCAGTTCCCTTCAAGGCATTTGTATGCTGGGTATGCAGAGTCTTTGAAGACAAAAGAGGGCCATGCCAGGATCCCTCAGTGTGTTCAGAGAATGTCTACTTTCCTACTCAACTATTCTTACCAAGCCCAGCTCTTTTGATACATAAATCACATTTAAAACTTTAAAAATATGTATTATATAAATATGTATTATGCAGCATTTTTCCGAATGAAACAGAGTGTTTGAGGACCGGGACATCCGTAGGGATACCAAGGTGCTTGTCTATAAAGCTATTGTCCTCCCAACCCTGCTCTATGCCTGCGAAACGTGGACTGTCTACAGACGTCACATGCAACTCCTGGAATGATTCCATCAGCGCTGCCTCCGGAAAATCCTGCAAATCTCTTGGGAAGACAAGCGGACAAATTTGGGAAGACAAGCGGACAAACGTCAGCGTGCTGGAAGAAGCAAAGACCACCAGCATTGAAGCGATGGTCCTCCGCCATCAACTCTGCTGGACTGGCCACGTTGTCTGGATGTCTGACCACCGTCTCCCAAAGCAGTTGCTCTACTCCGAACTCAAGAACGGAAAACGAAATGTTGGTGGACAGGAAAAGAAATTTAAAGATGGGCTCAAAGCCAACCTTAAAAATTCTGGCATAGACACTGAGAACTGGGAAGCCCTGGCCCTTGAGCGCTCCAGCTGGAGGCCAGCTGTGACCAGCAGTGCTGCAGAATTTGAAGAGGCACGAATGGAGGGTGAAAGAGAGAAACGTGTCAGGAGGAAGGCGCGTCAAGCCAACCCCGACCGGGACCGCCTTCCACCTGGAAACCAATGCCCTCACTGTGGAAGAAGATGCAGGTCAAGAATAGGGCTCCACAGCCACCTACGAACCCACCCCCAGGAGACTGAACTTGGAGGACCATCATCCTCGGACTACGAGGGATCACCTAAGTAAGTAAGCATGTAACAAACCCTCTAGAAAGGTTGGTTGGTTCTCTCTGCATACAGAAATACAGGGCACCCCTAAAGCTTTCCTGTCACTTAGGCCTGAACCTTAGATGGGGTGGGAGTCAGAGTCTGGCTTTGTCCCCATGGCACCTATGTGCCACTGAAAATTTCCCTTCACAACTATTGATTTATATAAAATCAATTGTAGTAAGACATGAAAGAAATGAGCAGTTGTAATATTTCAGTGATCCATAATGATATTTTGAAACTGTAGCTGTTTTGCATGAATAGTTGTGACTTGGCCATTTTTGTGGCTGACACACACTTCTCTTTTTCTCAAATCGGAGTTTCCAGAAACTTTCTCTGTCACTTCTTCATATCACTGTCCAACTACCTCACCAGATGGGCTCCTTTCCCCATCGTACGCTGCTTCCTCTCCTTTTTCTCAACAGAGCCCATTACATCCGGAGTTTCGGGGTACGGTGTCATCTGTAAGCAGATGATGTCCAACTCTGTCACTCCTTCCCACCTGCTACTAAGGAGGCTGTTCAGGTCCTGAACTGGTGCTTGGCCGCTGTGATGATCCTGCTATATATCGTGTCAGGAGTGACTTGAGAAACTGCAAGTCGCTGCTGGTGTGAGAGAATTGGCCGTCTGCAAGGACGTTGCCCAGGGGGCCCGGATGATTTGATGTTTTTATCATCCTTGTGGGAGGCTTCTCTCATGTCCCCGCATGAAGAGCTGGAGTTGATAGAGGGAGCTCATCCGCCTCTCCCCGAATTCGAACCTGCGACCTGTTGGTCTTCAGTCCTGCCGGCACAGGGGTTTAACCCACTGCGCCACCGGGGGCTCCTTGGATGAGGGTGAACAAATTGAAATTGAATCCAGACAAGACAGAGGTACTCCTGGTCAGTCGCAAGGCCGAATAGGGCATAGGGTTACAGCCTGTGTTGGATGGGGTCACACTCCCCCTGAAGACGCAGGTTCGCAGCTTGGGTGTGATCCTGGACTCATCGCTGAGCCTGGAACCCCAGGTTTCGGCGGTGACCAGGGGAGCATTTGCACAGTTAAAACTTGTGTGCCAGCTGCGCCCGTACCTTGGGAAGTCTGACTTGGCCATGGTAGTCCACGCTCTGGTTACATCCTGTATAGACTACTGCAACGCTCTCTACGTGGGGTTGCCTTTGAAGACTGCTCAGAAGCTTCAAATGGTCCAACAAGCAGCAGCCATGTTGCTAACAGGAGCAGCGCTCAGAAAGCACACAACTCCTCTGTTGTGCCAGCTCCACTGGCTGCCTGTTTACTTCTGGGCACAATTCAAAGTGCTAGCTTTAGCCTATAAAGCTCTACACGGTTTTGGTCCAACTTACCTATCAGAATATATCTCTCCTTATGAACCATCTAGGATGTTAAGATCCTCTGGGGACACCCTGCTCTCCCTCCCACCTTCTTTGCAGATGCGTTTGGTGGGGACGAGAGACAGGGCCTTCTCAGCGGTGGCCCCTCAACTGTGGAACACCCTGCCTAGAGATAGAAGATTGGCTCCCTCTCTCCTGGCTTTTCGAAAAAAGGTGAAAACCTGGCTTTTTGAGCAGGCCTTCCCAAATACGGCATAAGGTAAAGGTAAAGGTAGTCCCCTGACATTACGTCCAGTCATGTCTGACTCTGGGGTGTGGTGATCTGACTCTGGGGTGTGGTGCTCATCTCCATTTCTAAGCCAAAGAGCCAGCGTTGTCCGTAGACACCTCCAAGGTCATGTGGCCAGCATGACTGCATGGAGCGCCGTTACCTTCCCGCCGGAGCGGTACCTATTGATCTACTCACATTTGCATGTTTTCGAACTGCTAGGTTGGCAGAAGCTAGGGCTGACAGCGGAAGCTCACGCCGCTCCCCGGAATCGAAACTGCGACCTTTCGATCAACAAGCTCAGCAGCTCAGTGCTTTAACCCACTGCGCCACTGGGGGCCTTTAACAGAATTATGGAACTACTCGATAACGCAATGGAATAACGATTTGACATGGAGACGCTCACGATAATGTTTTAAGGCTTTGTACGGTTTTTATATTTTTTTATATCATATGAATTGAGGAATCATATGCTATTGTTTTTAACAGAATTTCTTGATTTTTTTTTACTTGTTATAATTGTTGAAGCATCGAATTGTTGCCTAATAAATACACAACACACACATACTTTCAGCCAGACTCCACTGGGAAAGGGGAGAGGAAGCGGAGTATGGGGGGAAGCTGGGCAGTGGCCTTTCCCCACATGTGATGGGGTCCCTGGTAAGTCACGCGAGGAAGGGCATGGAGCAACAGGTTCTCTACACCTCCCACCGGGACTCCATGGATTCGCCACAATGCGTGACAAATCCATGGACCTTTGTGATGAAGTCCTATGACAAATGCAGCTTGCCGCTCTGGGTGGAAGAGGGATGTGAAGCAATTCTGATACATTCACTGAGCCTTTATAGCAGATTGAGGAATTGAGGAATTAGTTCCCCATGTGAGCCTCTATAGTTGTGACTTCCTGTCCAGTGACTTCCTGTTTTGCATAAAAACACCCAATGGTCTGAAAAAAGATCCTAAAAGGACGGGTTTCCCAGCAAAGTGGTACACATAATCATGCCCCAAGAGGCTTATGCTATTGTCATTTGGGGACAGAAACACTTCAAATTTCAGGAAGTGGTCAGGAGGACTCTTAGAACTTCCAAATAGCCTCAAGAACCATGTGCAGCCTAGGAGATAATGAAGTAGATCTTGACATTGAAATCTGTCAGTCCACTTTTACATGTTGTTGTGTGCCTCCAAGTTATTTCTAAATTATGGAGACATAGAAGTGAAACTATCATGGGGTTTTTCTTGGCAAGATTTGTTCAGAGGGAGATTTCCTCTGAGGTTGAGAGTGTGTGACTTGCCCAATGAGACACTGTAGGTTTCCATGTCATAGAGGAGATTCAAACCCTGGTCTCCAGAGACATGGGCCAATGCTCAAACCATTACACCACACTGGCCCTCTTTTTAACATAGACCTCTTGTATTCGTAAAGTTCTTATTAAATACTAGCCCACGCGTTACTGTGGCCCAGTCTGGTGATCTGGAAAACAAAGTAATGAGAAAGTGTTGGTTTCCAATGTATGTAATTTCTTTATGCTTGTGTTGATGTAGAGATGGTCTGGTTTGCCTACTTTGGAACATGCAACATATAATTGTACTTCTTTAGGAGTCCCTTTCAAATTAGGATACTATATCTCTGTGTGTGAATCATATATATCTATCTATATCTATGGCTGGATGGCTCTTTGTCAGGAGGGCTTTGATTACGTTTTCTTGCCCTGGAGAAGGGAGTTGGACTGGATGGCCTTAAGTATTTTCTGTTGGTCATGGGAGTTCTGTGTGGGAAGTGCCCCATTTCTGTCGTTTGTGGGTTTCAGAATGCTCTTTAATTGTAGTGAACTATAAATCCCAGTAACTACAAATCCCAAATGTCAAGGTCTATTTTCTCAGACTCCACTGGTGTTCATATTTAGGCATATTGAGTATCTCTGCCAAGTTTGGTCCAGTTCCATCAATGTTTGAGTCCACAGTGCTCTCTGGATGTAGGTGAACTACAATTCCAAAACTCAAGGTCAATGCCCATTAAACGCTTTCAGTATTTTCTGTTAGTCATGGGAGTTCTGTGTGTTAAATTTGGTTCTGTCATTGGTGTTCAGAATGCTCTTTGATTGTAGGTGAACTATAAATCCCAGTAACAACAAATCCCAAATGTCAAGGTCTATTTCCCCAAACTCCATCTGTGTTCATATTTAGGCATATGGAATATTTGTATCAAGTTTGGTCCAGATCCATCATTGTTTGAGTCCACAGTGCTCTCTGGATGTAGGTGAACTACAACTCCCAAACTCAAGGTTAATGCCCACCAAACCCTTCCAGTGTGTTCTGTTGGTCATGGAAGTCCTGTATGCCATTTTTGGTTCAATTCCATCTTGGGTGGAGTTTCAGAATGCTCTTTAATTGTAGTGAACTATAAATCCCAGTAACTACAAATCCCAAATGTCAAGGTCTATTTCCTCCAAACTCCATCTGTGTTCATATTTAGGCATATGGAATTTTTGTGTCAAGTTTGGTCCAGATCCATCATTGTTTGAGTCCACAGTGCTCTCTGGATGTAGGTGAACTACAACTCCCAAACTCAAGGTCAATGCCCACCAAACCCTTCCAGTGTGTTCTGTTGGTCATGGAAGTCCTGTATGCCATTTTTGGTTCAATTCCATCATTGGTGGGAGTTCAGAATGCTCTTTGATTGTAGGTGAACTATAAATCCCAGCAACTACAACTCCCAAATGTCAAGGTCTATTTCCCCCAACTCCATCTGTGTTCATATTTGGGCATATGGAGTATTTGTGCCAGGTTCAATTCCATCGTTGGTGAGGTTCAGAATGCTCTTTGATTGTAGGTGAACTATAAATCCCAGCAACTACAACTCCCAAATGACAAAATCAATTTTTGAGTGAAGGACATATATTGGACTGTTAGGTGTCTTGTGTCCAAATTTGGTGTCAATTCCCGCAGTGGTTTTTGAGTTCTGTTAATCCACAAACGAACATTACATTTTTATTTATATAGACTATTATTATTATTATTATTATTATTATTATTATTATTATTATATCCTAGTTATGTCAAGTTTCACAAATATATGATTAGATTTCATGGATTGAATTGCCCTGGGGGTGGGAATGGTGGATGCTGCTGCTAATCAGTACTGCCCCTTTCTCCCATCCTTTTCACTGGAGTCATTGATGAATGCCTTGTAGAATAATACAAGAACTAAACAATGGCTTTCTGTTGAAACTGAATGGAATCCCAGCATATAGTCATTTTATTTGTAGCTGGCACTGTCATGCTGCTAACAATGTGAAGATAACTGTTCTGGAGGTGATGCTCAGAATATTTATGTGTATGACCTATGATTCAGTTTGTACAGAATCGGAAATGCTGTGACTCACCAAGAGCCTGGAAACTCAACAATGTTGAAAAAGCTTCTCTGGACTTACGCTGTGCTCCATCTTTATTTTAATGTGTTGTTATTCCCTGCCTGAATCCACAGGGAGAGGCAGATTAGAAATTATTATCACCATCACCATCATCATTATGAAATATCCTCAGAACTCAGTTCACATAAGTATAGTAAGCTTTAAACTACTTAGCAGCTAAATCTACTGTATCTACATTATTTTTCAAGTCAACATACTTTTAATTCCAGCTATAAATAAAGTGATTGATTGATCAGCTTAGGGCTCATTTTAGATAGGGGTAAGTATTTTGTAATTTCAAAGGGAGAAGCCAGATTGTATTGCTTTTTTTTTAAAAAAAAATGCCATTCTTCCCTGTCAGCTCATAGCCATGTGGGAGGGCTT